TTTAACTTACCCAACTTGAGCAATTGCAGCACCAAAAAGATCAGGTCTTTGATTTATGCATGCAGCAATTAATAAACCACCATTACTGGCACCTAAAATACTTAATTTTGAAGAAGTAGTATAACCGTTTTCAATCAAATATTCAGCAGCAGTTTGAAAATCATCAAATACATTCTGTTTATTAAAGAATCGTCCACCATTATGCCATTTTTCACCATATTCTCTGAAATTTTATAAAATTTTATAAAATTTTATATAGAATCATATTTATTAATATTGATTTGCACGATGTACCCGCCACCACGAATATTTGCCACAGCAAGTACTCCATTTAAATGCTGAACAAAAACCAGCTTTGTAACACTAAATGTCGGTTGAATGCTCACATTAAAGCCTCCATAACCATATAATAAAGCCGGCATGGAACCATCCAAAACTGCATCCTGTATAATAAAAATTTATTATATCTTATTTATTATAAATATAATAAATTATTAAATATAATAAATTATTAAAAATATTTACATGTTTCATTACTATAAACATTGGAATTTTTGTACCATCTTTACTTGTATAAAATATTTGACTAGTTTTATATAAACTGGGATCAAAGTTTTTTACTTTAATCTCTCTTAATACCTGAAAAAATATAACTTGTTTTCATTTTTTTAAATATTATATTATATTTATATTTGAATATAATATTATTTATGAAACAAACACTAACTTGTGGTTCTTCTTCATTTTTCAAATCAACTCTATATATAATACCAGGAATTAAAAATGATTTAAATTGATAAAATATTTCAGAATATTTTTTTTGTCCTGCAAAATTAACTATTGTACCAACATCAAGAGGAAATGTTCTAAGTATATCGCCGTTTTTTAAGCTATGTAATTGTAAAATGTTCTAAAATGAACATACAACATTATTAATATTTTAATTCGTAATTCGTAATAATATTTTAATTTGTAAATTATTATATTATTTCTATATTTGAAAACTCAATACCTTAACATGTTCAATATAACAAGCTACAAATTTATCACCATCAACTGCACAGGCCCAATCTAATACATTATCAGGATGTTCTGGTAAAAGATCAACCCATTTTTCTTGTTTATAATCCAATAAATCTATAGCTATTAATTTATAATTTGGCGCGTTTTTGTTAGTCCGAAATATTGCCTTTGTATCATCATTTGTCACATACTAATTAAAAAAAAAAAAGATAAGTAATAAAAAAAAATTATTATAAACTAAAATATTTGTATTGTATGTCACTAACTTCATAATCAGCTTCAAGTTTATCAACTACTTGAGTTAAGTGTAATTTTTCCCTTATTTTTATCTCTGGTTTTAATTCCGTAAAATAAACTAAATTATCTCTACAATCTTTCACAGGTGTGACAATTAACCATTTTCCACAATCAGAAACTTGTGCACCTCTAATATGAAAATATATATAACAAATGTATTAGATTATAAGTAAAGTAAAATTAAAAGTATCTTTATAAAATACTCAATATAATTTCATTTATACTATCACTAAAATCAATTTTTATTAAAACACATACATAATGAATCACTCACATCCTCCATAAAGGTTCTTCAGGAAATTCAACTACTATAATATCTTCTGACTGAGGTGTACCAATAATATGGTAACACAGCTTTTGATCTCGATTACCTTCTGTTTCTGAACCATCAGTTTTACCTTTTTGGTCTGGATAACAACCATAAAAAATTCCACAATTGTCATGTGTCCATGTTATTGGAGAAAATTTAACTTTTTCCAAAATTTCTGGATATTTTTCACCTATATATTATATATTATATATTATTTAAATAATAAGATAATAAATATATAGAGTAAAATACATTCTTTTACAATCAAAAAATCCAAATTGTACCAGTTTCTGTATTCATAAAATGAATGGTACACCAGTCAGATCCACTAGCAGATAAACCAAATGCATATATGCTACCATCTTCACTAAATTTACTGATAGTAATTGCAATGGTTCCATCTTCTGATAAAGTATTTGGATCTAAAAATACTCTAGGTTCACTATCCAATGTATCTTGTACATAAAGAACACTAGAAAAGATAATACTTATGCTTAATAATATCAAATGTAAATTAATATTTATTATTACCTTTGGTTTTGTAAGCCAGTATTTTTATAGAAATAATATTTATTTCCATATCTAGCAGGACATGAATATTTTGGAAAATCCCATAATTGTTTTAATCGATCATGAATATCTTGACGTGCCTTGCATGAAGTTAAATATGGTGTAGTAATAGAATTTTGAGCATCAACAAATGCTTTAGTTTTTTCAGAATCAGGATCTTCTAACCATCTATATGGATCTTGAACCTAATAAAAATAGTTATAAAATTTTATAAATCATTTTGCTTGTAATTCCTATTTTAAGTTTGTTTTATTTTGATTATTAAATAAAAATACTTTTCATATTAATATTAGTTTGTAAAAATAAGCTTTTTTTATTATTAAAAAATATTATTACATATGAGCATATTTAAAAATATTTTATTGAAAAAGCTTATTTATTATTCTAACCTCAATACCATGATAATTATCGATAATGCTTTCATCACGATATGCCTCAGGGTATTGTAATTTTTCCATTTTTTTATTTATGTTTATATGTTTTTGTATCGTAGGATCAAACACCTAAATTTTTGAAAATGTAATTGAAATTATGGCAATATTATTTATAAACAATTGTATTAATAAAAAACTTTACTTTCACAGTCGAAAAAGCCAATACCCGAACAAATTGAGAGTGCTTACTAACTGCGAATTTGAATAAATTCTTATAAAATTTAGTTTGAATTTTATATGAATTTGCAAACATATCAAGAATTACAAATACAGCCATGATATGAATTTTTTACATGTAATATATACAAAAATATAACTTTATAATATAATATTATACTAAAATATACTTTTCTGACATCTTACATATAATATTATAATAAGTAAGAAATTATAATTTTTAATTTTTATTATTTATTTATATATGAATAAATTGTATAAAAATTATTATTTTTGATAATAAGCTTATATTTATTCTTAATAATATATTCATTTATTATAAATAAATTTTATTTATTTTATTTTATTATAAATATTTATACTATAAATATTTTTCTATCTTACATCTTATGTTATTTAGCATTATTCAATATCAAAATATTAATATATTTATATATTATAAAATTATATATTATTAATATATATGAATAGATATATATATATATATATATATAATATTTTCATTATATTTCTAATAAATTTGACAGTGTCTCACGTTTAAATATAGCAATATGTTATGCATAAAGTTCTACGGTATCTGTTTTGTTCAAAAATTTTAAATCTTATCTTATTCTTTGTAAGAATGTAACAATAATATGAATATAGTTTACATATGAAACTTTTTAGCCAAAATTAAATTATCATTAATTTTTATTTTACCAGAACAGTTAGATAAAATTTGTAATGTTAAAAAGTTGACATAAAGGAGGTTAAGTGAGTATTCAGAATGAAAAATTTATATCACAGTAATTAAAAATATCATGTCAATATAATTATAAATGCAATAGTAACGATATATATGATGTGGAAGAGTAGGGGATATATTCTTATCAATTGGCCTTAATTAATAAAACCTCCTCTCATATACATGTTTACATGTAATTGAGACATAAATATAAAATACAGTATTATAAAAAGTATAAAATTTTATTTTCTACTTACATTTGTTATTTGCAATTGTTAAAAATACATATTTTACAAATAATATTTTTTAATTTTTTATTTTTTTAAATAAAATAAAAATTTAATTTTAATTTTATTAAAAAAAATTTTGACATTTTTTTAATTTTTATTTTATATTAAAGAAAAAATTTACATACATATATATGTAATAATTAAATAATGTAATAAAATTTTAGAATACACGCAATTCATAGAATATTTTAAATAAAGAATTTATATGAAAAGTTATATATTTCGTTTAAATATTTTCAATAGATATTTAATTTTATTAAAAAGTTAAAAAAAATAATTATGAAAACCTATTTATGGCTCTGAAACTCTCTGTGGGAGGGTCGATCATGAAGAGAATTCACAGAGTTGCGTTGCACTATCATGAACAGGTCAGCTGTACTTTGTGCTGTGAACTTAGATAACCTCTTTGCATGTGTTTAAAGACCCCCCTCTGCTTTGTTCAACTAGACTGAGTTTATATAACATCAAAATCCAATGCTAAAGTATTCATTGTGAATTGACGAGTGCATCAGTGAATTTTGGCACACGTTTGTACTTGTGTATATTTCGTTTTCGAATAATATAACCTTATAAAAAAAACAAGCTACTCTGGCATAATTTAGACAGTGATAAAAGAGGTCGCTCTACATCGTTTGTTGTGGGTAATTTGAATGTTTCTTTTCAATCTCTCAGTACACGAAGGAATGCAAAAAGATTGCCGAGATTGTTTAGGTATCCGATACCGTATTAACTCCCTGGATCAAACGTGGAAGTGGTTGCATCAAACAATTACTCTTCACGATTATTTGATTTCTATAACTGCCAGTCAGTCAAACTTTTCAAAAAAGTATTGTCAGTAGACCTGCTATCTACAGACAGAAATATTAACTGCTACCAAGGCTGATCTCGCTACATATACAGCGGTATAAAAATCTTCACAGATTTAGTAGCAAAGACTGATTTCACGAGCTAATATTGCACCATTTCCAGGGAGTGTGATTTTCATATCGGTATTGATATACACATTTGTCGTTCGATTCATTATAACATAAAAAAAGGAGAAAAAGTGTGTATGAGTGCGAAAAAAACGAAGAAAATTTTATTTGCACATGCACATTAAAAACATGTCACTAATTAACAAATTTATAATTGTTGTTAAACAAAAAGTTCAATACAATAATTTGTATCATATATCTAGATACTCTACGAGTTTTAATGTAAAACAAGATGATCCTAATAATTCAATTAAAAAGTCAGTATTCATATCACAATCCACAGATATATTTACCAATTTAGCGTTAGAAGATTGGTTCTATAAAAATTATGATTTTAAAAATCACCACATATTATTTCTATGGCGTAACAATCCGTGTGTAGTAATCGGACGTCACCAAAATCCATGGATTGAGCACAACTCTCAATTAGCTGAAAAACGTGGTATAGTGCTAGCTCGTCGCAATAGTGGTGGCGGTACCGTCTATCATGATATTGGTAATTTAAATTTGTCCTTCTTCACACCGCGGGAACGATATAATCGAAAATACAATCTAGAGATTATTACCAGAGCTTTATATCGAGAATGGGGTATAGAAGCAGAAGTGAATAAACGCGAGGACATCGTTGTTGAAGGGAAATGCAAAGTATCCTTTCATGTAATGTATTAAAAACACTTATAAATACATATATATATCTATTTATTTAGGATGTTCCAAAATTATATATTCAATGAAAAAATCAGTTAGTATTAAATAAATGAATAGATATGAATAAAACCATGTTATTTGTTCTGAAATTCATAACATTAATGTAATTGATTTGATCATATCTTATATATCTGAATTTATACTTTAAATTTTTAATTTTATATTTAAAAATTTTAATAGCAGGTATTTTGATATACTTTATCCTAAAGTTATATTATTATTCAAATAAAAACATTAATAAATTTTGTTTTTTTTATTTTTTACAAAAAAAATTGTAAAAGAAATTGGAACAACCTACATGTTTAAAAGCAAAGCATTGCGCTTTGCCGAAAAATTACCTATATATCCTTAACTATTTTAAAATATAGATATCTGGTACTGCAGCGAAACTAGGACGACCTAACGCATATCATCATTGCACATTATTAGTAAATGTAAACAAAACAGCATTATATTTAGCTCTCGAAGAAAAAAAGGTAATTTTTTTCGAATTTCTATCATATTTTATATAATATTATATATAATAGCGTATGTATAATAACGATACGATAAATATTATTTATGTATTTTTATTATATTCATTGTTAAATAAATTTATAGTTATTTTAATTAGAATTTAAATAGCAAAAAACTTTTATATTTTTTCAAGCTTAATTTTTTTAATGTATAAATATAAAAATAAAATTTAATTTTTTAATACTTTTATTATTATATTATTATTATATTATTCAACAAGAACTTATATTATTCATTAGAAGAGATATATGTATTTATACATATTATATATTTATATATATATATATATATGTATATCTATATTTCAGGATGGTATAGAAACAAATGCTACAGTATCCACGCGTTCTCCAATAAAAAATTTAATTGACATAAATTGTCATATTCAAATGGACAAACTCATTACTGCAATAGGTTGGGAATATCTCCGAACTAAAGCTCTTGTCTTAGAAGATGGTGGACAAGATCTTATTCAATGTCAAAAAGGATTTCAATATATTAATCCCACCGAAGATTGGTTCCCAGGTATATGAATATTAAAAAGAAAAATATTTAATTTCTAATTTCAAGTTTAGGTTTCTTTTAAATGTTTAATAAATCTGTAATGATATTTTTACAATATTTATCAAATATTTAAAATATTATCATATATGCAACACCATTTTATGATAAAATTATATAAGGAATTAATAATAATTAATAAATTTATATAAAAGAATTAAATAAAAATAATGTTCTTAATTATATTTTTATCTAAAATTTTCAGGATTGAACAAATTAATAAGTGAATTTCGTTCCTGGGAATGGAATTATGGTAAAACACCGAAATTTACGGTAACACGTGTTTTAGATATGGTCACGCGAAACAACAAAGTTCATCGATTTAATTTGACATTAGAAATCCAGAACGGTATCATTGAAGAAATCAAAATGAGATTGCCAGCTAGTTTAGTAGCAGAAGATTTTAGTCAAGATGCAAGTGTGATAACCAATCTACGAGGTTCGAGATACAATCATGAAATAATGGAAAATATAATAACTGCAATTGGTTGTAAAACTGTTACACTAAGTACGAGTCAAAATATAGATAAAAATAATATGATTGCTACGCAATGATTAAACCCATCGAACAATCATAATGATTGTGTTTAAATTGTTGTGTTCAAAACAAGAATCGAGTTATTGTATAATAAATCATGCATAAGTTTATATTTGATTTTACTTAAAAATATATTGTTATTAATTCTATTATATGAAAACAAAGAATATATTTTCGATTATAAATGTTGCAATTTTATATTTTTACGTAAATATGTAAATATAACTCGTATTTGATTTTAATTGATAAATATTGTTAATAAAAAAATGTATATGTATATATTTTTAATAATAATTTATCGATAATTAATTTATTAAATTTATTTTTATTCAAATTGTTTTATAATCGATATAATCTGTTAATTTGTATATATATATAATGTGTTAATTTGATTATTGTTATTGATATCATTGATCTAAAGTTTATGATACATAAAAAATAATAAAGTTTATAATACATAAAAAATAATATGTATAAAAATTAGAACTTTATCCCTTAATAAATTATATTGTAATATTTTGTACTCATAAGTTATGAGTTATTTCGTGAAATTATGTATATCTTTCTCTACATCTGGTATCATTATTATTTAAATTTGAAACTACTGATGGATAGCGATAAAGAGTAGGTCTTAATATAACATCCCGATATGGCGGTGGAGGAGTATCTGGACAAGATTCTATCAAGCTTCCATTACTATCCGTGCGTCCTTGTAAAAATGAATTTAACAAAGACACTCTTTGAGAAACTATTAAGTCGTCATGAAGTTGTCTATGATACCAGTATCTTGGATTATACAAATATTTTTTTGATAACCAAATATAAGAAATAATCAATCCACTGGAAATACCAGCTATAAAACCAAGGCAGAGAAACCAATATGATACAAATTTATCCGTTGAATTAATAATATGTGTTTGATTTATCATTTGTTCGCATATTGATAAATTTTTATTGTTTAATATATTTGATATATTATATTTTGTTATCGGTTTAATTTTCTTAGTAGATGTATTCACAATTGCCGAATGATGATAATTGCGCGATATTGTTACAGGAAGAAGAATCATTTTCTCAAATTTCTGAGAATTATTTTTCTTACCACAAATTTCATTGAATTCAATATTCTTATATTTGAGATATATTTGTAAATCATGTAAAACATTGTTGCAAGACCATGGATTTCTGAAAAAAAATGATATAAATTTACTTTGATCAATTCTAGCATATCTACACATGGTAACAAGTATCAATATTGTTCATATTAATAATAATATCATCAATAATTCAAAATATGAGAATATTATTAATAAGAAATAAATTATAATAGAATTTTAAAAATAAAAGTTAGATTTTTATGTGAAATAATCTTAATAAAATAATATCATATTAATTTTATACATCTTGTTTACTATACCCTTCTAATGATAATTTCTTCAAAAAATGCAATGTTTGCACAACGGTGTTGCTCATCTGAATCATCAAATTATTTGAAAGATCGAGACGACGAATGTGCGTGAGTCCATTGAATGTATCCAGTGGTAAATGACTGATCCGACATGAATCCAAAGTTAATTCCTATATAAAAATTTATTTCATGTGATATATAATTTTTATTAAATTATAATTTATTTTATCATCTTTTATCTTCAATCTTTTTTGAGAATTTTGATCAATATTAAATTTGAATTGTTGTTTCTATTATTACCATTAACGAAAAGGATCGCAATTTTGGTATATGTGAGTTGAAATTATTATTTGACAATTTCAAAATTCGTAAATTCTCATTTTTTTCAAAAACTTCATCTAAAATATAATGAAGTCGATTTTTCGATAAGTCCAAGACTGTTAAATCTGTAAGACCATCAAAAGCATTCAAACTAATTTCACTGATTGCATTCTTGGAAAGATTAAGATATCGTAACTTCGTCAGTTCAGCATTCTAAAACAATGAATTTTTTATTTTACAACACAAATACAAATCCTTCACAATATTTTATAATTAATATAATTATTATCAAAATTAAGATATTAAATAATTTTTAAAATTATTTTCAATAAAATTTATATTTAATTATAAAGTAATTAAGAAAAATATAATTTAAAAATACCTTTAGTTCAAAACTATTTAGAAATGATACCACATTATCCGATAAGTCCAAAGCTTGTACGTTGTTTGGTGCACCTGCATCTATATTGTAAAGATGGCGGCCTACGCAAGAAGCGCGTTTTAAACTGTACCAAGTATCACACATACAAAATGAAGAGCATTGTTGTGAATATTGTGTCAAAACTGTGATTTCAAAAAATATCGAAATAATTAATACAATAATTAAATAAATAATAGTATTATTAGTCATAATCATTAATTATTTATTTTACGTTAGATTTTGTAAAGATTTGTTAAACTAATACCGTAACTAATTTTGAACATAAATTCACTTCTGACAGAGATTGTTGCGTTTTCATGCGACTCATGATTACCTCGTTAATGTAATCTTATCTCGCAATACGATTGTGTGTATATCGCATAAATGTGTTAACGATCGAGATACGTCATCTATTTCGATGATTTTTCTTATCGTTTTACTTTTTGACAGGAACCTATTTTTTCTTCATGGGATAATCTAAAATAAAAGTTGGCAAAAATACAATTATTTATTAGTTAATATTTGGCTTGTTTTAAAATTTTCGTATGTTTATGATGACATGAAAACAAATTTTATTTCAAAACATTATTTATAAATATGTTAGAAATATCTTTCCATTAGAAAGATAATTTTAGATAATAAACTAAACTAAACTAATGATAAATTTTGAGATTAGAATCAATATCTACAGAGAACAGGAACAGAATTTTATATTTAAAAAAAATTTAAACAAAATAAATAAAAATAAAGATAATTATTAATTCAAAAAAGTAAAATGCAAATTTTATCTATATCATATTGTATTTTTGATATATAAAAAATATATCATATGTATTATAAAAATATATATATATATAAATACGTAATATCAAAATTAAATAACTTTTTATAATGAAAAAACAAATTTAACATATTGCCATAATATTAACAATTAAATAAACAATAAAAAAAACTAAGTTAGCTAAATTAACAACAAATATAATAATAAAATAATTATTACATGTAAATACTTTTTTTCTTATAAAATAAAAATTTCTTTAAAACAGAATTAAATTATGATTTAATTTTTCCTATAAATTCTATTCATTATTAATATATAATAAAAATTTAAGCTATCATACCCTAATTTTAATCTAATTAAAAATTGACAAAAAGTTCGCATAAAAATTCTATGCAATTCACATTTTCATTCGTAATTTTCCATGAAAATTGTTTCCATGTTAATGTGTTTAGCGTTAAACGAACACATTAATATAACACGAAGATGACTAAGTCTCCATTACATTGACAATGAAAAATAACATTACAATGCATATATACAGCAAATATAATCATAATTCTCTTTTAAAAAAATGGTAGCCAGTGACAATTAAATGTTACTCACTAGCCCTTGGCACTTCTTCGAAACTAAACGAGGGGTAGCATTCAGTGAGCTAACAACGCAACATATTATTGCGCAACATCCACGGAAATAAATCTAGGATAGGCTGCTGAGAACGCGTGGACCGCTGCCTTCTATTCGGCCTTACTATCCCTCCCCACTGCCCCTTGTATCTTCCGGCCATTTTTATTGCTCGTCCTCCTCGCCGCCATGACAAGCATACGGTATGGCACTGCAACTGCACCTTTACTAACTGCGCTGCATTTGATCATTTTATCGGTGTAATATTTTCAAATTAATTTAATTTTTTAATTATTACAATCACAATTGCATTCTATTAAAAATCACTTAAAATTGATGAAAGATTATCGTCATTTACCGGTTTCCGAAAACTGTTACGCATTGGCTAAGAAAATATATCAGCGCTGTTGTAGACTATCCACTCTACTATGTGTTTCGTTACTGGCGCCCTCAACTTACATGAAATACTAATTTGATACTAGTACAATTAAATATTGAATCGATCATAATTTTACATTGTAAAGAAATTATTATTACACAAAATGAAGTAATTAGAAATTATAAAATATCGAATTTTTTATCGAATTTGAAGTAATGAGTTTTTAATGAGTTTCATTATATTTAGCGGGCAGAAAATTTACTATTTAGAAAAATAATATAAATATATACGAATATATATACGATGTAAAAACAAACCTTGGAAATAGCTTTGAAGGTGAGGTTCTTTGCGACACATTCCCTGAAGTTGCAACGCTATGCGAAGATATTTCACTCGTCGTGTGTCGTCACCGACCTTCTCAGCTGACGTAAAATGGCCGCCTTCTACTGACAGCTGAACCATAAACACGATTTTTCTCTGCTAAAACGATTTTTATTAATATAGAATATATAATTGTTATTCTCGTACAAACATTACTTTCACAAAAAGTAGAAATCTTATGAAAATATAAGGTATTTCATTAAAAAGATATTACAGTATGGTATACGAGCGGCAATAGGAATATCTTACAGAACGAGGTTTCTTTGACACAACGGTCGGCAGACTGATCACTCGCTTGGATTTCGTCACAAGCGTTCTCAGCTGACGACAAAATGACCGCTTTGTGTATTTAACTACCAGCTGATTGTAAAAGTTTTATTTGTAGAAACTACGTAAAACTGATATTTCTATGAATATTTTTACATTAATTTAATAAAATATGGTGATTGCGTATAGAGTCTGTACATAATCGACATACTTTATGTGTAGTGAGAAAGAGAGACGCCAAAAGGGACGCCGAGTACAAGCGTACGAAAAAAGGAGAGGGCTGAGAAAGTGGAAGGTCTTCGTGAGCAAAGTGCTTTGGCTAGGGTTCTAGTCTGCGATTTTTTCCCGTTCTTCTCGTTGTCCGGGCGGACGGCCAATGGGAGTAAGTAGGTCAGCGCGCCCGTCCAATCGGTGTTCGAGGCCGGGTCACGTGGGTTTGTTGTTATCTATCAGCTGTTTTTCCCGGGCGGGCGGGTGGCCGGCCGGCGCAGTGAAAGCCGCTTGGTGCTCTGTTCTCAGTCCTTCCCGGTTGCTCAGCTGTGCGTCACATGTCGGCTACCGCGGACCTCACTCCTGTCCATATACCATCGAATCGTGTACCGCTTGTACGTTCAGCTTGCACAATAACGCTGAATTTCTATTCACTGGCAAACATTAGTCATATATTATGCTATCTACCACGTATACACCAACGTATTATCACAAATCAATCACGAAGTGCCTCGAACATGCAGACGGCGTGACGAACACAGGCAACGGTGCACGCCGTTTTGTTGATACATTGAGTTCTGTGTTCAGGCCGCGAAGGCCACCGCGTCCTTCTTCGGTCTAGGATCGCATTTGCTAACGCAATTGCAATTTAACGCAAAACTGCCCGATCTGTCCTCAGTGTGTATACGAGTGATCGTGGAACAATGACTTAAAGTAACGTGTTGCAGTACGGAACTTCGATAGGAAGGAAGAAAAAAGAGTATAACAAGTGTTTCATTTCCGGGAGTGTTTTTCCTAATAATTAATCAAATCATAGATACATTCGTATCGTCTCTTCACAAGTGTTTAACTGTTAAATCGCGCGTAAAATTGTTATTTCTCTTTGGTGTGATATTAATATATTTGCTTCCGGTTTGTTCACGATATACGTATACGTATATTTATCAACGAAAATTTCAAAGACGATAATAGAAGGGTGAGTTAAATTGTAGTGCAAATGATCTTTATGAAATACCAATTTGCGCGAGATACTTTTGAGAACGATTTATTATAAGGTGTTCTATTGTAAGAAATATCAGTGCATCCTCGTCAAACGATTTAATAAAGTGAACGAAACGATCGTTTATCCATAAATAACCACAAATAATGTCGACGGGTAAGAGACTGGCGAAACGTAGCATAATCGGCACCAGAGTGTGTGCTCCAGGCGAAGATGGAAAATACTATAGTGGCGTCATTCACGCCGTAAAAACGCCGGCGTCAGCCGCGTCCGAGTCAGGCCTCAGTATTACACCGAAGACTCGTTATTCCGTACGCTTCGATTCCGTGCCTGGCGGTCGTCCGCCAAGTCCCAGCACCGAATACTCTGATCGCGACCTGATCGGACCAGGCTTCGGTTCCGTCACCAGCGCACGCCTCGTGCCCGGCCAGAAGGTCTATTTGACGTATAACGGACGAGAAATTCACGCGGAGGTCACGCAACATCGTGAACATCAAGACGAAGTGGATGTTATAATTGCACCGAACGGTCAAGAGGTGAGTTTTTTTTTTTATTTTTTCTCTTTTCTTTCTTTTTTTTCTTTCGTTTAATTTTATGTTTGTGTAATTGTATATATTTCGAGGAAACGATCGTCTTCTCAGAGTTTTCGAAATAACCTTCAGACGATGGATATACGAATGATGCAGCTATTTTTAAATTTAAATTTTTATAATTTTTTTAATATTTAACAATTGTTATTTTTATTATTTTTTGGAATTATGTTAGTGAATTATTTATAATTCGTTAATTTTTAACATTATAAATTTAATTTCGCTCAACTGAAATGAAAAAATTAATTTTTATATTGTTAAGTCGAATTAAAAGGAATATAAAATAAAAGAATTGAGAAAATACAAGATATATATACAATATAAAGAAAGTATAATAAGAGAAAGGAATAGAATAAAAGTTTTACTTTCATTCATATTTACATACATATAGTATATTTTTTTCTCATTCGTATAGCTCATTGCCTTGGTTAAAGAGAAAACGAACAAAGCATCTGTGAGTAAGGCATGTTAGGCATAACGAGGTTTGATACGTCATCCGTACCGCCGCCGGGTCTCGTTGCATCGGAGCACAGGTTAGCGCGCATCAAACGCGGTCTATGCGCATGCGCGTATCCAGCTTGTTCGTGTTCACGGCGTGTTTTCAGAGACCGAGAAAAACGCGTTCTCGCGCGCGATAACACGCCATTGCCAGTATCGATGACATGCTCGACGAATTGCAGCAATTGTTTGTTGTTACTTACGCTACTTATTTTAAACTACAGACAACATATTTTTGACAGGTAAGAGCAAAAAAAATGAATGTGGTATTATATGATAGCCGGCTGTTGCTGGGTGGGTGTGTGCGTGCATGCTGTTAATCAGAAAATTTAATTTTCGTGACCTCGTTTTACAAGCGAACTATATAGTGGCTGTCCTATTTACGCGACGCGCATGAGCAGCAATACTCATTTCCTTTGTCTTTGAACATAGACAGGGTTAGAAGCGATAAATGCATTAGCTTACATCGTTCTGTCTGGACATGAATGTCGCGTTGCGAAGCGTCATGTGTGCATTTGAAATCTATTTTTTTTAACTACCGATGAATTAATCGATTGATAATCAAATATTTGAAAATAATAACAATATCTGTTTATATATAATAACTAGATAAGGGAATGAGAGGAAAGAACAGTGTAATTTCTAAACAACGAATAACAGATTAATAGAAGAAAATGCCTGTGTCTCGTAGCGCATCCGCCGCCCGATATTGGAGTCACACGATACATGAGAGTCGGTGCCAGTTCGTCGATTTTCGACACGCCTTTCTCGAGTTACGACCAGATAGAATTCGCGAAGTGGTTAAGTACGCGCGCGCGCACGCGCATGCACATATACATGTGCGTATAATTGTATTGAGAGGCATAAGAATTTTTTGCAGATTCGTAGAAAAGCATAGCAACGCAACGTAATAAATACCCCATAAAACGAGGGATAGCGTTATTACGGTCGGTCAGGCGTGGCAGAGAAATATACGTAGTCTCGATACCGCTACGTGGGCGCGGTTAGATTCGTAATGAGAGGCACTGGCATGAGCTAGGCTGCTTGTCCGTAAAGCGAGACTCTTTTAAGTGAGTGTATGCGTGCATGGACGCAGGAGAGGTCGGTTTTATGCGCGAAGTGAGTACGGTAGTACTGGCCCGTGCACCGGCTATTCCAACAGGGGGGGAGGGGAGGGTGACCCCACGTGGAACGCATTAGCGCAATATCTTTCTACCTCCGTTAGGTAGCTCAGGCGTGACCACGGTTCCATTTCGTGGAAACTTTGTTGCGCACGCGCGCATGCTACACGCGGGGGAAAAATGAACCGGATCTGGTCGGTCCGAAGTGTCCGGTTCCGATATTTTTATGCCCAGCAATCGTTATCTGTTTTACAGGAAATTGGTTTGCTTCTTTACAATAATAGACATTTTTATCTAACTTGAAATCAATCATATCAGTTTAAAATAAATATTATTTAAAATTGAATGTTTTTAATTGAAATTGTTTATCAATTATTTATCATAATTTTTTGAAATTATAAATTTTAAAATTTATATATTTTCCTAAAACAGTTTCTTAAAAAAATAACAAAAAAATATGAAAACAATGATAAAAAATAAAGTTGATTATATATATATATATATA